AGGTGCTGCAGTATTCAGTGCATAAATATCTATAGTGTAATGTCTTCTTGATGGATTAGTCCCTTAACTAGTATGTAGTGAACTTTGTCATCCCTCAATCAATTTTAGCCTGGAGTTTACCATGTCTCAGATTAAACTTGCTAAACCTGATTAATTTTGCAGTCGTAGTGCATTATTTTTCAGTCTGAGAATATATTTTTGAATTAAATAAGTTTCTTCCATGCATCAGAATTTTGGATTGTGACTTTTTATCCGGCCTGACAATCTGTGCCTTTTAATTGGAAACTTGAGGCCATTAACATTGAGAGATATTCCTGGTATGTTGATTATTTACTACCATTGTTCTCTTTCTCTGTTGGTGAGTCCTTTGTTTTTCTTTTCCTGTACTTTTGTGTTGTTGTTTATCCACTGACTTTGCCTGGTGTTTTAGCTTCATCATAGTTTTTCCATTATTGTTTTCATCACTTCTGTCTAGGATATTCTTGAGTATACTCCAAAGTACTACTTTAGTATTCATACATCTCTTGAGCCAGTCTTTTATATATTATGTGGTCTTAGTTACTTTCCTCATTGCTGAGAAAAATACCTGATTCCAAAGTTACAGGAGGAAAATTTTATTTCAGCTCCAATATCTGGGGTGATCTGTGGCAAGATGTAGATAACAAATGGCTTGCATAGCTCAAGTCCTATGGAACTGCTCCCATGGCTTCTCTCTCAGAGCAGCTTTGCTCATTGCTTGCCGCTTTCCTCAGATGATCCATGCCCTTGACTTCTCTGAATATCTGGATTATCCAATGCATCTTCAGCTTCACCCTCACAGCTTCACACACTTCCTGCTTAGGGACACATTGCCTGGCATCCCAAGCCTTCTTCTGAAATGTGGATGGAACACTTCCTGACCCAATGCTTGAATTTTCGGTACACATAAAACAAGAACAGTGTGGATGATACTCAAGTGTGCCAGCAGCTGGAGCAGTAGTCAAACTTCCTTCCATCTTCGCTATATGTTGTTCTTGTATGTATGCATGTCTTAGTTACATTTCTCATTGCTGAGAAAAAAATACTCAGGACCTACAAATTAAGAGAGGAAAGTTTTATTTGGCTCATAGTTTGTAGTGGTTTCAGTCCATAATCAGCTATTCCAAGACAGGGTGGCACAACAAATAGACATCACAGAGGAGAAATAGTCCACAGCAAGTAGAAAGTAGTAAAGCAACAAGAGACAGTCACAACTCTTGTCTTTATATCTTATCCAGGATGCTTAGTGCGGGTAGCACTCACACCCTTAATCCTAGTGCCTTTGACCATAGCATTGGCACATGTATCAATTCCAGCATCACACACTGTAGATCCAGGTACACTTGAAAAAGTCCCACCTATGACCACATGAGGATTTGAGGAGACATTCAGACATAGACCCTAATATCATGTTTCCAGTTTTTATTTTTTATGACCATGAGGAAACACAGATTTTGGCATTGAGGGAAAAGTAATCATCAGCCACTAATACATTACCTTGGCTGTAGTCATAAATTTATTGCCAACAATGGCATCAAATGTCAAGTAGATATCAACAAAACCAAGGATCCACTCATGAATATCTCTTAAACAGAGCAAAGAGGCCTCTGATTTTAGTGAAGGCAAATAGATCACCTATGTATGTGCTGGAAGTAGGCAGCAGTGCTAGTGCTCAAATATTCCACTTGCCTAACTTCCTTCTCCTTCAGGATTGCCCCCCCCCCCGATAATTTCATCCTCCAAACCGGGGCTTCCACAGCAGAATATAGATGTGAGGTCTTAATATCCTGATTTTGTCCTCTCTGGAATCCCAGGACACCCCTAGCTAGCTCTCCCCATCTTCACACATAACTCCTGAGTCTGTCTCTCACCTGGTCTCTGTGTTAGGGTGTGACTTTAGCCCTAAAGCAATATTCTCTTGCTGACTATTGGTCCTTTCACTGATCAAGTTGGTCTACTGGCTGTCACCTCTGTTGCCTTGTTCTGTGAAGACCCCAGGAGTAGGGCTGCATCAGCTGGGGACAGGGTACATCCTCCCAGCCTTTGACCTGGCTCAGCATGTGGGGCCTGCATGGCAGGGGGCAATGTCAACAATGTTCTCTCTTTGTTCTGAATTTCTGGAACCTTAACTGATGAATTGTGAGCAGTTATTTTCTGCTCAGAGTTTTTGGGGCTCTATATCACTCATTACTGAAATAAATTCCTTGCTTAGATTTGGAAAATTTTTCTGCTATTATTTTTCTGAATATATTTTTTATAACTTTGGGTCATTTTTAAATTTTTTCTTTACTCCTATAATTCCTAGGTTATTTTTTCTAGGTGCTGGCAATCAAATTCAGGACCTCAAGCTTGCCAGGTATGTGCTACACCACTGAGCTAAATCCCTGGCCTCCCCCTAGGTTGTTTCTTTGAGTCATCCAGAAGCTGTTGGGGCCAGCTTCCATGCTGTCTTATTGTTAATAATAACTGAATACATGATCCATGACTTCTGCCTTGGCTTCAGGTACAAACTCTTCCCTCACATTGGTCATATCAGCCTCCCACTTTAAACTGATTTCTTTATAACCTGGGTTCTGCTCAGTTTTTTTCTATACTCTTTCATTCTTTACTGAAATGGGGATTCATATCTTGTATGTCTTGTTAAATTCAGTACACCTGATGCTCATGTCTTCTTCAAACTTGTTGAACATTTAAAATTCTTTAACTGTTTATGCAAAACTTGTTTGAGTTCACTTAACAACTTAGGAGACTTATTTTTTACTTGTAATATTTTAACCATTTGGATTTTTGAATGATTTGCCTATAAGTTCTTCTCTTTCAGTGTCTATAAGTCCAGCTTTTGCAGAGTTAAGAGTTTTTGAAGGAATTTTGTTGCTTTGTTTTCTCATGTTTCTACTGTTTTTAGGCTGAGGGCTGAAAGTCAGTTAGTTAGTTTGAAGAGGTAGAATTGTAGTTAGGTAGTTTGAAGAGGTAGAATCCCAGGGACATGTTGATTATCCACACTGTAGAGATCACTTTACTTGGTGTGTTCTATCCACAAACTATCCACACTGTAGAGATCACTTTACTTGGTGTTTTCTATCCACAAACTATCCACACTGTAGAGATCACTTTACTTGGTGTTTTCTCCCTATGATTTGACCTTAGCTTTGTTCATGTGTTGGTACTTACATACCTTTTCACCCTACTCAACATAATAAACTAAGTCCAATGCTGTGTTGCAAGAAGACAGTGACTATTGGTGATCTTAGCATCAACAAAGGTAACCCTGTATCTATCATATAATTAAAAACTTGTTTAGCTTATTCATAAGTTTTTCTATGACCTAGAAAAAGAAAGGAATGGTACTGATAGCAAGTAGGCTGGACTATAAAGAATGAGTGAAGGAGAAAGTCATAAATAAAGGAAGAAAATAATTTAGAAAGAAGAGAATAAGGAAACAGATACAACAAATGAAAGAAAAAGAGAGTTAGGATTTTCATGAAATTAGTTTTATATCTGGAGTAGGGAATGGGGAAGGCGATGAAGAGGGAAGGAAATACAAGTGTAAATTGGGGCAAGTTGTAAGAGAGAAAACTAATGAAATTGCTGGTAGAAACCTTGTATTTGAATCTTCCATACATATTGTTTGGTAGGGTTAACCTGGCACAACAAAGTAAAATGTTATCTAATATAAAAGCACTAAATTAATTCTTACTCTCCATTTCAAATATACAAATGTCTCTCTCTTAAATACAAGATGGGAGGAAAAAAGAAAAAAGGAAAACAAAACAAAGCAACAATAATCATACACACAAATACTCAAAAGTACAAATGCTTCTTGGTTCTCTTCATATTGTAGTCAGAATTTCATCCAGAGCACTCTTTGCCTTTAGCTCATAAATGTCTTGGGACAGTTGTAGGGGACTCACCTCTAGTGGTTTGTGTTGCTATAAGGTTGAAGCTACTTGTGTTGCTTCCCCTCAGAAAATCTTTTCACTTACATACAAACAAGTGGAAACTGAGTGGTCCAGACTGTCCACTGGACCTGCTTTTCACTCCCTTGGAACGAGGGAAATTTCAGCTCCTTTCCTATGTGCTTGACTATCCAGGTGTGTTTGTCTCGAGGTTATGATTGGACAACTTCAATCGTATTGGAGGATGGGAGAGCACAGAAGGACTAGTCAAGCACTTAGGTGAATAAATAACAATAAAAAATAAGGTATAGAAATCATTTACTGTAAAGAATAATTTTCATCAACTGGGCTATATTGAAATTTAAGACTAATTGTTTTTCTTTTGGTTTACTGGTACATGTGTGTAATACATAATATTTATTTCTGAATAAAAATTCAGTACATGTACACACTTACACATATTAATAACTATTTTCATTTTCTTTTGGTTCTCTCATTCCCCACTGCATGCATCTCCTGAGCTCCCTTTTTGTGGCCCATATTTGCCATACATGATGTTTACATTCATTGTGCAGAGCTGGTTCATGTACATAACTAAGTGCTTGGTAATAATAAAGACATCACTCAGATGAGCCTTCTCCAATTTAAAACCAATATTGTAGTCTATCATATTTATCTTGGGATTTGCAGTAAGTCAGAAACCACTGAAAATACAAAGTCCTTGGGAGTTTTCTATGATTTGGAGTCTGTTTTTAAATAACTGTTTTTCTTTTTAGAATCAAGACACCAGGTGCAATGGCAGAGATTTGTGACTCCTTGGAGACTTATACTAACTCCATGTATGAAAAGCCAATTGAAAGTAGAGCAGGTGCACAACAATTTCTAAAAAACAAAGGAAAAATCACATATTACCACATTTACATCAGAGCAAAGTGAGTGCTTTATAAACACCCCCATTCACTGGAGAGGCTTAGATTCTGGACACAGCCTGTTCTCCTATTTTGGGGAATGTTTACTTCATAACAGGATTTTCAATAGAATATATTTCTCTGGTTTTATCAATTACCCTAGTCCTTATCACTTAACATGAAATTATCTAACATTTTTCCTCTGCTTGTTGCTCTCCTCTTTATATCTCAGGAACAAAATGCTATTCTTTCATTAAATGCATCTGGTTCTCCTGGCTACTATCAAGATGGTGATTTTATTATTGGGGGACTCTTTTCCCTAAGAGTGACTGATGGAGATACAAGAAGCACATTTGGATTTCAAGATACATTTTATTTGCCACCTTATGTACATGTGTAAGTGTGTGACGTCCCTACACACCAAATTATGATAATGCTAAAGTGTGTGACTGATTTGAAGTTCATTTGAAGACTAGCACAGCACTCTACAGTTGAATATTTTTCTTTGTTAGACATTTTATTGACATCTTTTCTATTGTATTGACATCATTGTATTGGACAACCCTTTATTTATATCAATTTCATTTGTATATTGGTCATTTTTGTGTATTTCCTTAGGTTATCTAACAAAGTATTGTTTTTCCTGAAATGTATCTTGATGTCCAAGACAAGAACATATAATATTCTAATTTTTTTCTATTTTCCACTTACTTAATTCCCTGACCTTAGTTTGTCAGACACAAATGGAACTGAATATCAAATGCCAAAATTTTAAGTTTGACCATAAAACTGATTGTAAGACTTGACTTTATAGCCACCAGGTTTCTCAACATTTCTGACATGACACTCAGTTTATTTCTCTGATTATTGTGTGCATTTTTTTCCATGACTATTGTCTTTTTTAAAGTAAAAATTTAGAAAACTGTCTTTTTGCCATTGTATTTTAGGGAATTTACTAAGCATTATCAGCATCTACTGGCCATGATTTTTGCTGTGGAAGAGATCAATAAGAACTTGAATTTGTTATTCAACATGCCCCTGGGATTCTACCTCTTCAGTGTTGACTACATTGAGATGAAAGCCATGGAGAGTTCTTTGTCTTTGCTTTCAGGACAGAGCCCTCCTGTTCCCAGTTACAACTGTAGGCCTGAGAAGGGAGACAAGCTGGTGGCTGTGATAGGAGGCATTTCAACAGCAATATCAACTCAGATTTCCCGAGTATTAAGTCTCTACAGTGTTCCACAGGTAAACGCAAAATTCTACTGTTTGAGATTAAACATAAAAATATAGTAGTGAATGCCAAACAAAGTTCAACTTATGTTCATTGAAGAAATTGTGAAATTTTTACTTTTGGCTTAATTATCCATTTTCTTCATATGATTTATATGTAACATAAAAATATTTCTTAAATGAAATCTCCTTTTGTAAACATTTGAAGTGGAGAAATTATATAGCTGAGATAATGATAAAACTTAATCTCGAGACTCAGCCTGGCACGACCTGTGCCAAGAGAGGCAGTGTTCCAGGAGCGGCTGGACTCCTGGGCTCCAGTCTGTGCTCGCCCACACCGGCACGTTCCCAGCTGAAACGCGCCTAGAGAGCCAGGTATTTCCCAGCCACTCCCTGAGAGCAGAGAGCGCACACCAGGACCCCGCTGCCATTACAGACGGAGTCCTGGCCTCCCTGCTCCCTCAGCAGAGAGGCGGTTTTCACTCGGAAGCCCCAGGGTCTTCCCTGGCTGCAGGTGGGGTGAACAGACTCAACCCTGCACGCCCTGCGCCGGGTGAGGGAGTGCTCCAAAAGGTGCTGACCTGAGGTTCAAGTCTGAGCTTTGCCTTTGCCCAGATCCCCTCGCCAGTCAAAGGCGGGGAAAGTCTGTAACCGATACCCATCTGGGCTGCATCTGGTTCCTCTATGTATTATGTTCTGACTGGAGACATAGATTCAGGTGGTTCACAAACTGTAGATCCTGCAGTTTGGGTCTGAATTATGCCTATACCCTAAATCACCTGGGGGCATAGGTCAATGGACCGGGATTGCCACACCAGTGCAACCAGAGTCAGGTCATGCACGTGCCCTGAACTACAAGGGAACACTGGATCAGATGGTCGGCCATCAAATGACACAAGTGCCC